CCCTTAGTGAGGGTGGGGGGGTGGGCGGGGCTGAAGCGCCCATACATACATTTGTACGGGGACGTTTCAGGCTGTTCCCCTTCAGGGAGCAAGGGAAGAGTGCACAGTTTTCTGTATTCCTCACTCTGGCTGGGGAGTACAGGGGGCAGATGAGCTGTGCATTAGTCTCGCTCCTGGACAGGGACAGGAAAGAGAAGAGCACACAGCCCTGGTATGAATCTGAGGGAGAGGTTAGGCTCCCCACCTCCCCTGTGGCTACCCGTAGCTTCTCCTAACCCCCAACCTTGACCTCTCTTACCCTCCTGCCCCCTGCCCTGAGCCCCTCATCATTCCTCCAGCCCTGACTCCTGCATCCCCTAGTTCCATGCCCTGAGCCCTTCCTCACTCCCTGATTCCTGCATCCACCATACACACCAACCTCTGCCCTGATTCCTGCATCTCCCAAATCCACATTCTCTGCCCTGAGGCCCTCCCACATCCCAACACTCCTCAACCCCCTCTTGAGCCCCCATACTCCACCCCACATTTAAATTTCCTTATAGGTACCATGTATCACAACGTCCTGCTCTGAGGTCCCCTGGGGGATTATGATATGACAGTACCCATAAGACCTTTAAGGACTGAACCAAGAGGAACCAGAAAAATAGGATGGACCTGTGATAGGATTGCTTCTCAGTAAACCTTACAGAAAAGAGATAAAATGGAGAGTTTTGGAGTAGTGCTCTGTTTTGGCACAGCTAAAGCAATGCTTAAGATTTGTAAATTAGAAGAAAATGTTTTGTAAACCACATTGACTACAGCCCCTTTTTGTTAAAACAAAGCAAATGATGATAAACATAGCAGTTTATAGGGATGCATTAAAATAAACTTGATGGAATTCCCATTTAAAAAAATTACTAAAAATAATTAAATGGAAACATTTTAACAATCCCCTTTTTACAAAAGCCATAATAAAAAATTAACGTCATACAAATAACACTATTTTTGAAAAATACAATCATTTAAATCATGTACATTTTCCTTTTATTTAAAAAAAATTAAGGACTCAAGCAACCCCATGTAAATGTGCTAGTGTTTACATATTTAATATTACTTTCCCAGCATAATTGCAAATGTGGAGTCAGGCCTCATGCTAGAGAAGCACAATATGCCTAGATCAGTAAGAGAACTGTCTAGTCTCTTTTTTCCTTTAGGAGGGCCAAAGAGATGAAGGCTGCAAGGTTTCATTATTCAAAGCGCCTGCAGTGGTCTTGGAGCAAGTGGAGAAAGGTAAGAATCTGAGCAGATAACAGAGGAGGATGCAGAACTCTCTACATATAGATTACTTGTGCTTATCATGTAGCTGCTTAACTAAAACACTGTATACTCATCATACTGGTTAACCTTGGGCTGTCCTAACCAGACACTGTTCCTTTCAAAGAGGGGTAAAACACTGCAATAAGGGAGGCATAGGATTACTGTGAGGAGGTGAGAGGGAGTTCTTTGTCCGACACAGCTCTCCTGATCACAGAATGTTATCTGGGGTGGGATGGCAGGACTGCGGCTCAGTGGAGGGGTTATCCAGTCAGTGGTTCTGGGACAGTTTGTGTGCGTGCGTGCTTCCCCCACCATTACACTCTCTGTGCTTCTCGGAGCATCACTTGCGTACTCTGGACCCTGAGGGGAACTGCTGGGAAATACCACATAGTTGTTTCTGTTCTCAGGAAGGTTTCCATTAAATAACCCTTTTTGGAAATAAGACAGTTAAGTTTTGTACCAGTCTTTAGCTCCATAATTGGCACCTGCATGAAACATTATTCCCAGTTCACAGAACCTGCTGGCAACCTTAGAATCATAGTATTGGAAGGGACTTTGAGAGGTTGAGTCCAGTCCCCTGCTCTCATGGCAGGACTATGCACCATCTAGATCATGGGTTCCCAAACTGGGGGGTGTGCCCCCCCCTGGGGGGGACATGAAGAAATTCCAGGGGGGGCACGGGGTGACCCATCCCCCTCCGTCAATCCGCCCCCTAAGTTTTGCTCAACAAGTTTTGCTGCTATTGGGGCTGGGCTGGGGCGTGAGGGTTTCTCAAAAATCAAAAAGGGGGCAAGATGCCGAAAAGTTTGGGAACCACTGATCTAGATCATCCCTGACAGATGTCTGTGTAACCCACTCTTCAATAAATATCTCCAGTGATGGAGATTCCACAACCTCCCCACACAATTTATTCCACTGCTTAACCACCCTGACAGGTAGGAAGTTTTTCCCGATGTGCAGCCTAACCCCCCCTTTGCTGCAATTTAAGCCCATTGCTTCTTGTCCTATCATCTGAGGCTAAGGAGAATAATTTTTCCCCTCCTCCCTGTGACACCCTTTTAGATACCTGAAAACTACGATCACGTCCCCCTCTCAGTCTTCTCCTTTCCAAAGTAAACAAGCCCAGTTCTTTCAGTCTTCCCTTATAGCTCATGTTTTCTAGACTTATAATCGTTCTTGTTGCCCTTCTCTGGAACTTCTCCAAATCTTTCTTGAAATGTGTTGCCCAGAACTGGACACATACTCCGGTTGAGGCCTAATCAGCGCAGAGGAGAGTGGAAGAATGACTTCTCGTATCTTGCTGGCAACACTCCTGTTCATGCATCCCAGGATTGTGTGTGGTGTGGTTTTCTGGTTTGTTTTTTTGCAACAGCGTCACACTGCTGGCTCATATTTAGCTTGAGGTCCACTATGACCCCTAGATCCCTTTCTGCAGGACTCCTTTCTAGACCATCACTTCCCATTCTGTATGTGTGAAATGGATTGTTCCTTCCTAAGTGAAGCACTTTTCATTTGTCCTTATTAAACTTCATCCTGTTTCCCGCAGACCATTTCTCCAGTTCATCCAGATCATTTTGAATTATGAGCCTATCCTCCAAAGCACTTGCCACTCCTCCCAGCTTGGTATCATATGCAGACATAATAAGCATACTCTCTATGCTCTCATTTAAATTGTTGATGAAGATATTGAACCGGACCGGTTCCAGAACAGACCTCCTTCAATTTGTAACATCTCTTGCGAATTGGATAGTAGCAAAAAAAAAGTTTTAACCAATCTGTCCCCAGTAAAGACTGTTCCTTCAAGGGGAGCCTGGTGTTCCCTGTATAGGAGCCGAGTGCTCCCATGCTCCTACATCCATTCTAGACCATGCACGCTGCTGGCTGGGAAATAGCAACCCAGCATGCTCCAGGTACACTGAGTAGGGGCGCCGCCATCATCATGGCAAATCCTAAAAGCTCATAGTCTCCTTGCAAATCAAGTGCCACCTGGACTGATTGCGTATTCATTTAACATCCATCACTGGCAGTCAGGTAGTGCCACCAAAGCTTTTGGTGCCAACAGAATTGCTGGGTTTGGAGTGGCATTCCTTGGTACACACATTGCAACATGTTGCTCTATGCAAAGCAAGAAAGTCAGGGGAACCAGGCCAGTGCTGAGGGAAATGACTGGTGGGTTCATTTAGATTATCCTACTATTTTATCTTATCCTGCCACTTTATATGAAGCAGCTAACTGAGACCGCGAGAAAATTTCAGCCTCGCTTGGGGCTGGTATTTCACAAGGAGGGTCAGATGCTATTCGGAATATCAGCCTGAGGGATTATTGCCTTTTCCTAGGAGATAAAGATTTTGCTGATCGAGTGGTTGGAGTAGGGGGGGGGGGTCATAGGCAGGATTGCATTTCTGTTGTCTTAACTTTCCCATTAGAACTACCATAATCTCTGGTACCAAAGAAAGCCATGAAGAAATCTCTGATTTCCTTATGCAAGGGGGAACAGTCAGCACTGCACATCCCTTCTTTTGAACAATCTGATTGCTGGTCTCTTTTCCCTAAATTATCCTTAGATTAGTAAAGAAATTCTGGTATCTGAATACTGTGCAGTTCCCTTGTTACTCTTGGAAGACGTATTTGCTCATCATGGAAGGAGGGCTGGAATTGGAGTTCTGCCCTACGTATGCTATGTCACCAGATCCCACATAATAGATTTAGTTGTACTTTGGTGCTTGGGTGACAAGACTTGGCATCATGTGATACCTGAGATCCTTTTCCACCACAGAGAGGAAGATCAGGGGCTAGGAAAGGCCATGGGGAAGTTTCTCCAGAGAGTAGAGCTCTGCCTGGCTCAGCTCAGAGTTCTGAGAGTGAATTGAGGCTTGAATCCCCAATACAAGGGTAACTGGAAGAGAGACCATTGGGGAAGTGCTCTCAGCAGATCTATAGAGGAACAGTGAGAAAAATCTATAAAGAAACAGTGAGAAAATGGAGCAAGGGGAGGATTCTCCATATTGGCCAGAGGGAAATGTCTGGCTGAAATGACCTGTAGAGTAAAGAGGGGGCAGAAGCTGTAGTGGGCACAGTCTTGAGAGGACACTTCTGGAAATAGCAGCAGAAGCTGGGTTTTGGAATGAGCAGCTGAAGAAACTGTTGAGTAGGGGACAGAGTGGTTCCAGGTTCCGATGACATTGGAATTGTTTTAATAGACGAGCCCCCCAAAAAGGAGGGGTGGTGTTTAACTTGGACAAGAGGCTTGGTGGCAGTTTGGGCACTCTGATTTTTTTTTCTTTTTTGCTTGTAGTATGTGGAACATCGGTCTAAGAAGTGGAAGACATTGGTGCAAGCAGACATTCATTATCAGCACTCACTACTGGGCAGAGTCCTAGCTGCCTGGAAGGTAGGAGGATTATGTTTGTTTCATGGCTGTTGTTTATACCCTCTACCCAGAGGCTGGATTGTCAGATCTGCTTAAGTGCATTTTTTTTTCTTTTTTGCTTGTAGTATGTGGAACATCGGTCTAAGAAGTGGAAGACATTGGTGCAAGCAGACATTCATTATCAGCACTCACTACTGGGCAGAGTCCTAGCTGCCTGGAAGGTAGGAGGATTATGTTTGTTTCATGGCTGTTGTTTATACCCTCTACCCAGAGGCTGGATTGTCAGATCTGCTTAAGTGCTTTAGGGCCCACATAGTGAGTGAGGCCTACTGCTGCTGTCACTACTGGAGAGGCTCCTTTGGTGAAGCACTGTGTTCCTATAGTACTCAGGTCCGAGATCTCTCCTGGCTTGTGTAGCTGCGTATATGTGATCTGTAGGTAGCTGCCAGTGACAAACCTCATGTTACTAGTGTATCATTGCTGCTGTTGTGAGCCACAAGAGAAATGCTGAACTCTGGTGGCAGCTTTTGCATCTGCTCCTGAATAGCAGCTCTGGAGAGTTCCCCAGAAAACTCCTCTCCTACGGTTATCTAATAGCTGTGCCGAGTCTCACTTCAGCACTGCTTCTCTTGCAGAGTTACCAGCAAAACATACAGAGCGTTCTGCGCCAGGGCGCTGAAAAGGAAGACGCGCATAGGAGGGCGCTGTTGCGGTAAGCCTGCCCATCCCTGTGCAGCTCTAGGAAAAAGCAGCTGCAGTGCAGTCAGCATGGCCGAGGCCTCCTTGACTGGCACATTCCCTGAGTGTATGACACTGGGAACTAACTCGCCCTGATTCACTGTCTGTCTGCATCTCAGCCGAACTGAAGGGATGGTAACATCCTCATTGGACTTGATGCTGGCCACGACCTTCTTGTGGATACGCAGGGTTGTGAGTCCCCTTGCTACTACCTGCCTTTAGTATCTGGAAGCCTTTTCTGTGCTTCCCAAAGGTTAGCTCCATGGACAAGCACTCCTTTCTAAGCCCCACCAGCCCACGTCTCTCTCCAGTCCTTGAGGCCTCCAAGGGCACCTCTACACTCTGGAGAAGATTGCCCCTCTGGAGGACTATCATCTAGTGTTTGATTCAGTAAGTCTAGTGTAGACACCTTCCCCCCCCCATCATATGCCGAGGGCAGCCCTCGCTGGCATCCTGTGCTCCTCATTCTGTGAGGAGTAAGGGAAGCAGATGGGCGTGTGTGCTCTCAGCCTCCCACAGTGTAGAGGCTGCAGTAGTTCTGCTTAAGCTGAATCCAACTATGAATCTGCTTAAGCTGAATCCAACTATGCATTTTGCATAGCTGGATGGCGTACCTTAAGCTGACCTGCCTGGTCTAGTGTAGACCAGACCCAAGTGTCTCCCTGGTGTATCCAGCTCCTGTTGCATTGGATACTCACAGTATTCAGATTGGTGCTTCCAACAAAACAGTACACCTCTGTTTATCAGTTTCACCTCTAATCACTGCTCCTCTTGACACTAGCATTTATATACGTGCATAGTAAAATCAAGTGTAAGTTATTTCACGAAGCATAGGGACTGAAATAATAGTAATTAGAAGTACTGGAAACAAATGATTACGTATGAAGTAAAATTGTGATATATTTTAGAGCTTAGACTTAATTAACCAGATGTTCTCTCATCTTGTAGAATAATGCTCATCCTTGAGTGCCTTACAGCCAGGTTGGCTGAGACCCTCCACTCATGACACATGCTGTTAGCTTATCTCCTAGGAAAGGACCAGCTGTATCCCTGTCCATTCCCAGACACAAACCAGTCCCATCTTTTGTCTTTATTCATAAACAAGGCACCCTCCTCCCTGTATTGTTTTTCATCGTTAGATTTCTGTTCTTGTAGATTTCAGTCTCTCTCCTTTTGCCTGTGGCTCAGTATGCAGGTAGGCATGGAGCATCAGATATATGGTACACAAATGACCAGACAGATATAAGTGTATGCTGTCTCCTGCCACTAAGGAACATCTCAGAGTATGTCACCTGGTGACTTGCCTTCCAAGATCTTAAGAACCTAATTTTCACTAGATAAGTAACTCTGCTTTAGTTGGGGATGGTCCTGCTTTGAGCAGGAGGTTGAACTAGATCTCCTAAGGTCTCTTCCAACCTCAAATGTGGTCTCTGCATACATTTTGCAGTGACGATGACCAGAGCGCTATTGGTCCTCTGTAGAGACATCACATGCCACTGCTTTGGTGAGCTATTGTGCACATAACCCTGCAGAGCCCTCTGTGCCAGTTGGCATCAAGAAATCCCTGGGGGGCTGTGCCTGTTATGTTATAAACCACTCTCCTAAAGCATCTTTTGTTCTGTTTCAAAGCCTTCTCCATGTGGCAGAACTGGTTTTGTGGTACCTGCTGGAGCCGTAACTCAGAACAAATGTAGGTTCAGTCCCTGATAAACATATTGTTAGCGAACGACCTCTTGCCCTTGCAGTGAATGGACTCTGCTACGGTCTTAGTCTCAGTGCTCGAGGAGCAGATGCACTTTGTCTTGTTTCTTAAATCTGGCAGGACCAGGAAGGGCATTGATCATCCTGCATTAACTGCAGTCACTTTAGGTTTTTGTGCCAGCTGAGAGCTGTATTTTGCAATTGTTTAAGTGCCTGACTGCACTTGGAGGCATGCTGTCAGGTGCTTGGCTTTGTTTAAAACGCTAGAAACAAAGGTGGATGTGTGGATACTGCAATTTTTTGGGTTCTTGTCATGAATAGAAAGGTGCCAAAGGCCAAGCCAGCTTCCAAGAAGTGGGGAAAAGTATGTGGTGAAATCACTCTTGATCCCTAGGTTTCTGTTTCCCACTTCGTCCTTAGACAGATGCTGAATACCTGGAGAGAAAATACTGTTGCCCTTGTGGGTGAAGCAAAGAAAGCTGTGCAGGCAGAACAGCACTACAGGAGATCAACTCTCTTGAAGGTGGGATGTGATGAGGGGACATAGGGTATGTGTTTAGCCAGGAAATAGAATTAGTCCAAGCAGTAGTACATTGCAGCCATTACAAAGAACGATGCAGAACTTCAGGAACAGCCTGCACTGAGTATCTGCCTATCTCAGCAGGGCCTCTGGGGCACTGGCTGTGGAGGAGTCAACATTCAATTCCATTTCTCAGAAGGGAATAGCATATCGGCTTTGGCTGTGGGAGGAAGACCCCTTCAAGAAATGCAAATTGGACCCACAGTTGAATGGCTGCTTGTGGGAACTCTGCTGTGGGGTATGGAATTCCCATTAGTGGAGGATTTTCCCACACCTGCAGCAGTTGACTGTGATGGGGTGAGAGGGTGTGTTTGTGGTAGTGAAGATGTGGGGCACTTGACTTCCACTCTAATCTCCAAAGAGTACTGAGGTATCCGTTTATATCCTGTCTCTCTGCTCTAACTCCCTAGGTGCTTCTCCAGTGGAGGGACACTACCTGTGTACGGGTGTACTGCCGTCAGCAGGAGGCAGCAGCTCTGAGGGAGGCCAGGAAGTGTTTGGATATGGGTGAGCCTGGGGACTGAAGAATGTAAAGTGCTCTCCAAAGGAGCTAGTCACTGTGTTAGAGCTGTGGCTAGCTTCATTGCGTGAATTCTGACACGAATTTGTTACTGTGTGAATGCGAGAAGTTGCATTTGGTCTTCATAGATGAGATGAGGATGGTGTGTTAGTGATTTTGTTCTACAGGATTTTTTGCAATATAATGGGTGTCTTGGATTGACTAACATACTACAAATTACAAGATCCTTCCTACGATAGGAGGGATGGACTACTGCATAGGGCAATACAATCTGCCAGTCATTAAATGGTACCCTCAGTACCTCATTTATAAAGTAGGGCTAACGCTTGCTGCTTGCAAGGATTTTGTTAGGATAAAATCCATTAATTGTTATGAGGCTTAAATAGCAGTGATGAGGGCCAAACAAATATCAAGAGGTTCAGGAAAATCTTGGTTAAAAGTAACTAATACCCATCCAAGACTTACAAAACAGTTAATACATTTGTGTCTTAACGTCATAGCTCCCCCTATAGGGGTGAGGTGATATTATCCCCTTTTTCCAAGTGAGGAAACTGAGGCACAGAACAGTCAAGTTGCTTGTCTGAGGTTATAACTGAAATTGTTGGCAGAGCTGAAAAGACATTGCAGGTCTTTTGACACCCTATCCTGTGCTTTCGCTGCAAGAGCACCCTTCCTTCCAGGTGAAATACTGTTGTTTAACAATATTTCTCAGGGCCTACAAACCTGGAAACTGAAGAGCTGGTGGCTTGGATGCTCTTGACTGAGATAGAAATGGGTATCTTTTCAGTTCCTTGGTTCATGTGTCTTCTCTTCACAGTGCGCTTACGGGCTATATTTCTTCACTGGAAGGAATTCACCACAAGGTCTTTAGTGCTGAGAGTCCAGCTCAACACTGCAGCTCAACACCACCAGAGGCAACTGCTGCAAGAGTGCCTGGCAAAATGGAAGCAGTTTCATAGGCGGTGCATAGGGAAGATGGTAAGGAGGAGCAGGGATCATGGACATGGAAGCTCTAGTCTGAGGGAGAAAGCCCTCTCAGCAGTAGCTGTCCCTCTAGATCAGTGTTTCCCAACTGGTGTTCTGTGGAACCCTGGGGTTCTGCAAAGCAAAAGTTGGGGTTGCGCGAGGAGCCGGCACTCCCTTGCCCCCTCTGAAAGAGAGAGCGCTGGCTAACCAGCTTCTTACAGAAACAGCATGCTTGTTTCCCGTTCCTCCCTGGCAACAGAGGCGTAGCGAGGCGAGGACAGAGGGGAACAGTTGCTCCCGGCCAGCATAGTAGGGGGGGTGCCAGACAGGGGTGATCCCACGTGACCCACAGCGGGGAGGGAGCCAGTGCGTGCTACCTGAACAGCTGGGGCTGTGGCACCTGGCAACTTAGTTCTGTGGCCTTTCTGCATGGTGGGGGAGGGAGAGGTCAGGAGACCCAGGGCTCCGCAGCTCCAACTGTGCAGGCAGCGCGCTCTGCCCTAGGATCCTCCCCCCTCCCCCCCCCCCCCCTTGCACAGGAAGGCATCGTGGAAGTAAGTTCCTGGGGTGCAACAGCCCCTGATGTTCAGGCAGTGCTCATGCCAGCTGTTTGAGGTGGGGAAGTGCAGTTACACACTTCCCAGCACACAGAGGTGTTGCAGAATTGCCAGATACTGGTCCCAGCTGCCCCTGTCCCCTGCCCAAATCTCCTCCCCTCCCCCTGCCCAACCAACACTGTCCCCAGCACCCTGTCCCCAGCCCCCTGCTATCCACCCTAGCACTCTGCAGCACCATGGCCCTGGCCCTAGCCCCAGCACCCTGCCATCCACCCCAGTGCCCAGCAGGACCATGTACGTGACCCCAGCACCCAGCCACCTGTGCCAGCATCCTGCCAGCAGCACCCTCTCCCAGCCCCAGGACCCAATAGCATCCTGTCCCCTGCTCCCACCAGCACAGTTGGGACCACATTAGTGAGGCTTGGGGGTTTGGGAGGGTTGGGTTTTTTTGTTTGTTTTTTGCATCTCACTTGTGTGGCCCCAACTGACTTTTCTGTGGGTCAGAACAGAACCCTTGACTCAAAACAGGTCACTCTCTCATAAATAAAGACAATGCTAAAACCTTTTGAGTTTGACATAATATTTTATTTCAAAATGAAGCCTGGCCAACAAGCCCCCAATTGGGGCTAAACTCCATCTCACTGCAACATCATAACACTTCTGCACCACCTGACCCCAAATCTGAGCCTATCATACACTGGAACCCCCTGTCCTGAGCCTCTTACATCCCCAAACTCCTGCATCCCCACATCCTCAGTCTGCTACAACACTCCTGCATCCACAAATATACATCACAAATCTGTGTCCTGAGCCCATCATACTCACAGCCTCCTTGCCCTGAGCCTGTCACATATCCAACCCAAACTCCCGCACCCTCACATCCACAAGCCTATGACTTGCTCGGCACCCCCACCTTCCCCTGCCCCCTCACACCCCCAAGCCTGTGGCTTGCTCAGCACCCCAACCTTCCACCTGAACCCAACACTCCTCAGCCTGGAGCCCCCTCTCCAAGCCAGCATCCCCTTTTCCACCTCCTCCTGCATACAAATTCCCTCCCAGAGCTAGCACCTCTCACCCCTTCCCACACCTAAATCCCTCATTCCCACCCCAGAGCCCGCGCTTCCTGTCTCAACCCAGTGAGAGTGTATAAGGGCTGGGGATAGCAAGTGATGGAGAGGAGGGGAACAGAGGATGGGGCCTCAAGGAAGGGGTGGGGTTTTGGGGAAGGAACGTGATTTTCACGCACTGGTGGGATCCCCCTTCTCCCCCCCCCCTTTCTTTCTTGACAAACCTAGAGGTTCCTTGACATTCTGAAAAGCTGAAAAGGGTTCCATGGCCAAATAAAACTGGGAAACACTGATCTAGAGGGACAGTTTTACAGACTGCTCATTTCAACAGTCTAAGCTAGAGAGGATTGTGTGAGCCTTGTGCATTGTGGAGGAGTTAGCATCTTTGCACATCACCTGTCTCAGCATAAAGCCCTTGGGAGAAGGGGGTGCAGAGCATTCTCACTTGGTAGAGTAAGATTGGGAAGAGCTGAGAGAGACCCATATTGGCTTTTGGTAAGGGAAATCCATGCTGGGCTCTGGCAGTTTGGTGAAGAATGGACTGTTGAACGCTGTCTTACTGATGATGTCTGGCTGTCACTAATGCTAATGGAAGGTGATTATGGGTGGTTCTCTGTTTGGCTTTCCTGCCAGCTGGCTTGGATATGGGACATGTGCCTGTCAGTATGACTTACTGTGCTGATTCCCTGACAGCTCCTGCAGAGACGGGGAGACCAGCTGATGGCTTGGAGACTCTGCTCTGCTTGCTTTTCCTGCTGGAAGAGACAGGTGAGGAACTATGCCACAGAGACCGACATTGAGCCACCTCCTGGCCCTGTCCTGCTTCCTCCTTCAGACTCCATCAGCTGCACCAAAATCCAAAGGGATGGGGGGAGTATGCAAGCGTGTGTCCAAATATCTTCTGGGCTGGTGACTTCATTAGCATGGGGGGGGAGGGTTTCCAATGGCCTTAGGTAACCTCCTCAGCCTAAAGAAGAGGGATGGATTTCAGGGAAGTCTGCATTACTTACCTGTGTGGGTCTGTCGGGCTACAGTGTGCAAGGGTGGGCAGTGTTCCAAGAAAAAGCCACCCCCAGTTAATGGTATTCAGCAATTCTTTCTTATTGCTAGTGGAAATTTCCCATGGGTGGTGAGTGGCAGCACAGCAGGCTAAAGAGTTAATCCTTTTTGCTTTCAAAACAGAAAGGTTAATGTCTTTCAGCCTCTCTATAGGCAGGGTCCTTGAGCCTATGTGCAATGTGTGTGGCCCTTAGGAAGCAGCTGAAAGCACAGGGAAGGGATGCATTCTCCCACTGCTATCTCCATCTCTGTAAATCACATTGCTTCATCTTCTGAAATCTGTGGGGTCTAGCACATAAATCCCTAACCAGGTGCTGTGTGACTTCTACTAACAGCTGTTGCAGAAGCAATGGGAACGGCAGGAGACAGTGCGGGCGCTGTGGCACTGGTCACTCTCACTACAGGGAAAGGTAAGGAGTGCGTATGGTACACTTTGGGGTCTGCACTGCATGTGCATGTGAAGTCAGCTCCATGGGGCAGGCAGGTCAGGGACCATTTTCCTCTCAGTTTCATCTTCAGTGTTTCCTGTGCTGCTCTGAGGTATTGGGTATCTTTTTGGCCCATGGTTCTCCTCCTCAGATAAAAATCTCCCTCCTCTGTCTAATTCTGGCTCGTTTCCTCACCCCATCTCCTGCCCCTTTAGGACAGAGATTAGCCTCTCTGGTTGTTACTGTCCTGTGGAGGGACTTGGGATCTGCAGGGGGAGTTTTTGGTGCACAGGTAATAACTCTTGCAGCATTACTCTTGCAGCTTGCGGTTCACTCTCTTTACTGCAGGTGTTTGATGCCTGGCTGGGGTTTGTCCGGGAGCAGCAGCGGAAGAAAGGCCGCATTGAAAAAGCGGTAGGGGTTTACCGTGCAGCCCTGTTGAGAGAGGGTGTGACCCAGATCTTGAGGTACACGGCTGGCATGAAGCAGTTCCGGGGGCAGCTTCAAGCCCAGCACCAGCTGAAGGTAAAGGAGTCTCACATCATTGCTCTGTGCTGGGCATTGCACCTTCCCTGGAATGAGGTGGGATTTCAGGTTTTAGGTTCATCACTGATCTGAGCTAGAGGTACCTCTCTGTCCTCATTTCCCAGCACAACTCACTATCCATTTGCTCAGCTGGCACTGTAGCACTCGAGACAGGTGCTGCCAACTGGGAGCCTTTCTTGGAGGCCACTTTGGGAATGACCAGCACCACCTGCCCAACAGTTATGCACAGGGCCCAGCAAGGTGAGAGCTCTGCCTGCCAGGGTCTCTGTGCTCTGGGAGGCTGTGCCAATGTAAAGCATTTTGGATACCTGGGAAGATGCTGCATCAAACCCAGTTCTAGTCTGTTCTTCACTCGACTCCTTCCAATGTGATGGCTATGCCACAGCTACACAAAGGGAGTCTGGGAGTGCCAGCCATGGAGCCTGGGGCTTGTGTGGATTAGAGGCAGAGCAGCCCCAGGAAGCTGAAAGCCCCATTGTATTTGGAAACAGAATTCCCTGTAAATGATAAAGAAAAAGTTGGTACTAACTTACAACATTTGTGGCTGCAGGGACCATAGTACTTTGGGAATGACGCCTAGCATTTGGAAGGGACCCAAGTTCCTCTCTGGCCAGGCTTCCTTGCCTGTTTCTAATTTTCAAGGTGGAGGGGGCTCACACTCCTCCCTGCTAATGTGTGGCCTGATGCACTGGTCTTTGTGCCCCTGAGGGGGCTGATAACTGTCTATATTGGAGCACAACAGGTCCAGGACTGTAATTCCAGCATCAAGAACTCATAGACTCTAATGCTAGCAGATCTCATCTGGAGCATCTAGTCTGTCCTGCACCATGCAGGAGGTCAGAGACCTTCACTCACACACACACCCTCCAGCAATAGATGAGGAACCTCTGGCTGAGTTACTGAAGCTTTCAAATCATGCGTTAAAGACTTTAAGTTCCAGAGAATTCACCACTTACAGTATTTTAAACTCTGTCCCGTGCTGCAGAGGAAGGTAAAAAGCACTTGAGGTCTCTACCAATCTAATGGGGGAAGGGCGATGAGGGAGAGAATTCCTTCCTGACCCCAAATATGAGATCAGTTTAGACACAGACACAAGCGAGACCCAGTGGCCAGAGACCAGCCTGTTAAACTAGCTACTTCCCTGCCTCATGCCTGCCTTGGAGAGCCCTCCTTCCAGGGTGCCATGGTGCTGTTTCCTCCTACTCGCATCCATCAAATGATCTGCTGTTCTTTGTGCTTGGCAGGCAGCCTACAGCCTTCACCAGACAGTGTCTCGTTGTGCCCTACTTTGGAAACAAAAGGCTCTCTGTCGGAGCCTAGACAAACCTCTCTCCCTTCTACCTTCTCTGAAGAAGAGAGTGACATTTAAAGTTCCCATGCCTGATGCCAACTCTGGGGCAGGAGGAGATGCAGCGAAGGCAGCAATTCTGTGCTCTGTGCCACAGCCCTTGAAAACTGATGATTTGCCGTTCCTCTCTGCTGCCAGGCATTCAATGCTTAGTGAGCTGTGAGTGTACATTTCAGCACATTCTGCACTATCCTTGTGTTGCATTTCTGAGATGCATTGCTTAAATCCTAAGCTACCTGGTGGCTGCTGTGAATCTTCACACCGTTTCCCTTTCCTTCCTGATGCCTCATGGTACGTCTGTTAATGCTGAGATTTATAACAGAGCTGATGCATAATGCATGCAGCTGCCCATGAATAATGGAAGGGCTGATGACCTCACACTTCCTTGGCAGCCCGATCCTATCTCAGCCCTGCCCATCTTAATAACCTCCCAGTAGAACTTCCTCATTGCATTGTCATGGATTACTGGAGTCCTGGTCATCTGAGAGGGAAATCAA